GTACAGTCTGCCCCAATCGGGATCAGGCCGAACCGCCGGCTGAATTTGCGCGCTCGCAGCGCTAGGGGATTGCGCTGCATACGCGCGCTGTCGCAGAGAGTGAAGAGATCGAGGACAGAGCAGACTAGCTAGCCGCAAATGTGGCGCGAAACTCTCGCGGCGCGGACTCCCGCCATGCCGAATTTGGCCTGGTTAGGATTGGGGCAGACTGTACATTTGTTGATAAAACCCATCCAAACGTACAGTCTCCTCTCAGCAGTCATTACGTACAACAGCATAAATAGAGGCAACTCATAAGCGGAGACTGGACGTTGTTGCCTGCGAAGATATTAGGTTGATAAAAATAATTTCGTTTTTTTCGTACAAATATCCCTTTTTTTATTTATGACTTATTGAGGGAAACAAGTTCAAAGCTTCTACCATCACAAACTACTTCTACTCAGAACAACTACTTCTACTCAGAAACTTTGTCAGCAAAGGATAGTTCTGCCCCAATATGGCTAAATTCCGAAAGCTTACCTCCTTGATTCAAACTTCGTTTTCGTGCTGTAATGGATGCAGAGAGGAGTTAGTTGGTATTCGGATACAACCAAGATTTTTCCATTTAGCGAATAACGATTGGATTTTGTGATCTGCTATTTTGATATTCCTTAGTTAAATCGAAGTCTTCCCACATTTACGCACAGTGAGAAAACTGGAATTCGTTACTTCTTTGCGCCTTTCTTCCAGTGGGAAATAGATTCTTTTCAAACAGCATTTACATTCCAATGCTCATTGAAGTGCTCTTTCCAGAGACACCGAACGCCTGACAAAAATATGTTTGCAGCATCCGTAGGAGCCGCAAAACCGATCTAAATTATTTATAAGCCAACCTCACTGTACTTAATGGGGAGAAGCACATGGCTAGAGCCTCTTTCATTCCTCTAGCCTAGAGGAATGAAAGTGCGTTAGTTTTGAGAGATGCCGACAACGTCCGCAGCGGCGACCTGTCTCTGCGTGCGATGAATCGCCTATAGCCGTGTTGGCGGTAGGTTTAGTACCAACTAATAGAGAAAAGAAGGGGCAAAAACTAACAAGAGCAGTATCCAATAGCTATTGTTTGTCAATGCAACTACAGGAAGTGCGCAATATACGAACTGACCACTGAGACAAAGACAAACGTAAGCCTGCTAAGAGAGCTTTAAGCAACTTTGAATAAATGTAAATCAAGACAGCGGTGCATCTGACGAACTTGCAATATGAACTGAGCCTATACCATCAATCGTATCATCTTATATTTAGTACAGTAAACAAGTTTAACGAGCTCAAAGCGACTATTGATTGGCTGCCGAAAAAAAAGATACGCATGGATAGGATTCAAACTCACTGCTATACTTTTGACTGGTAAATGAAACTTGATAATGTCATAATTAGGCTCACCTGCAAATCAGTCTATGTACACTACAACGAATAACTTGGGAAACAATTTGTAATGAACTTCCTTTACGGTCACTCCTCGAAAACTGAAACCATGGACGGATCACATCGAGGAGGATTATCCCACGTCCATGACGAGTGGGAGAAAATACCCATGGACATCGCTGTTTTTGGAGATGTTATGTTAGCTTTTACGCTTTCAAAATGTTATGAGAATACCATGTTAAATTGATAGCTTTCTTAACACCACTTCCCTTACGGAGAAAATCCACAAAGAAGTTGGAGAGTGATTTGACAATGGACGCAACGCAAGAGCTTAACGCCACTCAATTTTTGCAAAATTTAACTACTCACTTTCATGTGCACTTGTTACCTGAAGCTAACAGAAAGTTGTGCATTACGTGATTTGATATCAGTTCTCACTTGTGGTGAAACTTTCCATCTGTTTCAGGATGATCTATAAACTAGCACACATTTTTCTTCTGGTGTTCTACCTATGAATGAACGCACTTGCAAAACTATCATCATTTCACTCGCTGTCCATTTTTCCTCTATATTACTGGCTTCACAAAAGAACAGCTGTTTAGTTTGTATGAAATTAATAGAGTGATCTACAAGGCGACGTGAGTAGTTATAGTTCGTTTGTGCATGACTGGAGCTATTACGAGCATCCATACTCAGATACTGGAGAATCTCCTTAGAAGTCGCTTCGATAAAACTCCCAAAATGCAAGTTCCTTCACTATACATTTACTTTAGAAACAGGATTTAGAACGACCAGACCAGAGACCCAGAGTTCACAAAGTATGTCAGTGGTCTTCAATGAGACTGAGCATGACAAAAGAGAGAAAAGCACTAACGGCGCATATAGTTCCTTAACACGTTTCGGACCGCGAAATCGCGCGCGGCGAAAAAGAGTGTACTTTCAGCCGTTAGCCTACAAAGGGACCTTATTTCGCAGCCTATGGGCCACATTTGTAATCAGCATGTCAGATAAGCTCCATATCCAAAGTTCTGAGTGAAATCGAAGTGTTTGAATTTTGTCGCTTGAGAGGGACTTTTGTGCTTTCTTGAAAGATAGGAACAAGAACTCAGATTCTAATAGTATTCAAAAGTATCTATGTTGGACACGGTATACATCAGTATCAAAACTACGGTTTTTCTCCTTGATATCAAAGCAAAGGAAAGTTGCGACGTCGCACGCGTCGTTCGCGTCGCCGCACTTCGTTGCAACTGTTGTTCGATTTGTGCTCATATCTCCTAAACAAATATCGGCGGCACAACTATACAGAATCATTTGAAAAGTAGGAGGTTAGACCTTTAACTTAACAACTTCAGACTAAAAGGAAACCTTCTGCAAATACCAGAAAGATCCCTCAAAGCAGCGTGCTGCACCATGTGCAGCACCGGTCCGAAACGTGTTAACAAAGCTACAGCGAGATAAAGGCATAAGATTACAAACTTTCACATGCAATCGGATTGAGCATTTCATGTAGAAAGGGTTCCACTGAGAGTTTCTAATGAAACTAAAACGACAGTGCGGATGAAGTGCTCATAGAACATCTGGTCAAGAACATCTGCACAATATTATATGGAAACAGCAGCGGCAGACCGGGAAGCAGAAGGCGAGAGGGGCTGAAAGTTACTTCATGTGTATAAAATTGTGCTAGTGACTTATTATAGGAAGCTGACTGAAATACTTACAAGAAATTCCAAATACAAATCATCTGTAAAATAAAATTCGGGAAATATTAATCAGTGCGTGGAGGAAGGACGTCGTCGGTTATGACGGCAAAAGCTAAAGGCGGTAATATCAAGTTGTGATCGAGAGTTTCTGCTTTATTGTTAGAGTGGTGCACACACCAAATTTTTGTCAACTCTACAATACCGCTCGTATATTGTGAAAAAAGGGCGTAAAGTCGCCCGATTCAGGTGACATCAGGCAGCGTGGCCATATCTCGCTTCAGAGTGGACGATTTCTCAATCCAAGGACACCATTCGACTCAGCTTGGCGCGGCGCATCTTCCGATCTACAGGGTGTCAAAAAAAATGTGCCTACTGTTTCGCTAGTAACTTCTTGCCATGAAGTCTTTCAAAAAGCATTAGGTGCCATTTTATATAGCTAGTTTCAGCTTAAAATTACAGCACGGAGCGAATCACCGATCGGTCTTCTTTACGGTAGATTTATGGCAGGAAATTCCAACACATTTCGTCACCGTGAAAAGCTGCTGTTTCAAAAAATAACAAAAGTGATAGTTTTCATGCACGCTGAGTTCAATACTCAACTTTGTACAAGATTGTGAAGCGTTCTAAGCGGTGGAAACTGTTTTTTAGGAACATCGAAATACCGTTTGCCACTGCTTCCTGCCATAACTTTTCAAGGAAGCATCAGATGAGACGCAAACTTCATAGTTAAAATCAGCAACTTTGATTAGCCTAGTGTGAGAGTTTTCAGGTCGCCGTTTCCTTTAGGCAAAATATGGCTCTCCAATGGCTCAAAGCCCTCTTCAAAGATCCTACCGCAATTCTACAGTAACGGAGAGAGATCGGCGATACGCTTTATGCTGTAAATCTAAGTTGAAGCCAGCTCTACAAAATGGTATATAAAATTTCTCGGAAGACTTCGTGGCAATAGAGCTATCAACGATCAAACAGTAAGCATATTCTTTTGGGATACCTTGTATAGACTTCCCACTTGGACACACTAAGAGGTCAGATTTTTTGCTGCGGTAGCTGCCCGGTGAGTGCACTGAATAAGCACACTGAGTAATCCACCGTAAGAAAAATCTGAAACGAATCGTGGAATCCTACTACTGTGTCCAAGCGGGCACTTCTACAGGCCGTACCAACCAACATCGGTTATGCGACGTCGCGCCTGCGGCAGCTCGCGATGATGCGGATGACGCGTGCGAACTCTGTTACGCGCGAGAGCACGTCGCAAGCGACCGTGCGTTCTCGCAAGACATACCAGCGCTTAACGGATGCTGGTTGGTACAACCTATATATGTCAGAGGATGCGCCGCGTTAAGCTGAGTCGAATAGTGCCCTTGAATTAAGAGTTCCACTCTGAAGCGAGATAGCGAGATATGGCAGCGCTGCGGTGATGTCACATGCACTTTGCGTCTTTTTTCAAAAAATGCGAGCAGTATAAGCATAGCAGGTCAAAGTTTTATTGCCTTGCTCTGTTTCATCCATCAAAACATTTTCTCAAACCTATGTAGTATGCGAGAAGCATCTGATTTTCAAATGACGCCAGAACTTTTACAAAGGTAGTGGTGTTGATCCACAAACCCACACTTCTTCTGTTCAAACAGTAGAAGATCACAGACTCACAGGAGAGATCGTCTGTATCTTACCGAATGACTTAAAACAACAGTTCTGATGCGAATAGGCATGTTCTATAAACGTGTAAACATACATTTCATTCATTCGCAAATCGGAGTAAGGTTCACTTATTTGATCCTACTCGCTCGTTATGCCGCAAGACGATCGTCTAAGAATCTCGGCAATCTTGGACCATATCAGGTCAGATTCAGATGGCCGTGAGGGATTCCCAGTCCTTCAAGCATTCCAGCTTATTTTTAGCTTCGAAGAAGCTTTCCTTCGACGTAATGAAATTCCCATCAATCTCATAGGAAGCGACGTAATCAGCCACAGCAGATGGGTATACCTGGTAACCTATTTATGCACATTACCGACTACCTATTCAGGAATAGTCAGAGGGTCATTTCAGGTAGAGTGGGAGCTCACTAATGGCGCGCTGGTTAAAACCTGGGAGCCAGGCGATCGCCTATATTGTGAAGAGCTTGATGAATATAATGAGGTGTGCTGTATCTCAATGCAGACTTCCCCATAATATTTGCAATTTAGAAGCATGGTTTGACGGAAGATAGAAATACGAGCTGGGCGTTGATTCACTTCACCTGCGTTAAACAAAAACAAAACGATGAAGAAGGCGAAAATGAACACAACTAATCTTACTAGTTGCACTAATCACAGTGATTATTTACCATTGAAACGACATACAATATCCAATAAATTCCTGTATACAGCTTTACAATAAAGAGTTTCGATCGCTGAGATGGTCCACAGAAATACAAAATGTGCTTTACTATATCGTCTACAGCACCTCATCCACTCAAAGTGATCAGGCATCACCTCAGTTTGCGAATGAAAAAAGTGTATGATCACCAGCCAACAGAATGTTTCCAATCAAATGAAAGTTCCTATAACCAGTCATACCAACCAAACCCGTCCAAAGATTGGCAATGCTATGATAGAGACTACTTCCATGATCCATAGAACAGGGTTCGTCTCAAGTTCGATCCCCGACGTTTTGTGATATGGAAATCTATTCTTCTCAGACAAAGAAAAAACGATAATGTTGTATGGATTCGAATTCCGACATATTTGATGCGTCACGTCAACATTGTTGAGACTAGTAAATTATTTTGAAGCCTTGTGCATAGAAACTATGCGGTATCATGTTTTGACTTCACATGAAATGCTTCGCATGTGTCGTAACAGTGTTGAATCATAATAGACTTCTGAATCTTTCAAATAGAGAAGATTTACAGCGTATGACGCGGACAAGACTTCTCAAAAGTGAAGACTTTTTAAAAGCTCTTAAAAATACCGAAAAACCAGTTGGAGAAGCCCAATAAAACTATCGTCGATTCGTGGCCGTATGGACTGCTCAACCGCTGCGGACCGCGCGCGGCGCCGTTAAAGGCAGTGTCCGGGCAAAAAGTCGATTTTGAGATTTTGTGCTTACCCGGGCCTATTCCCTATGCTGAATCCGAATATTCGCATTGGAAAGCGCGAAGACGGCGAAAAAGGTAACGCAGGAGTGAAATCAAAAGTGGGCGGTCCGGGAGCTGGGACCGTGAATTCACCCTGGGGAAGACCCCGTCCGCTTTTGATTTCCCTCCTGCGTAAGAGCCCTTTTTCGCCGTTTTCGCGCTTTCCAGTATGGATTTTCGGATTCAGCGTAGCAGATAGGTCCGGGTAAGCACAAAATCTCAAAATCGAGTTTTTGCCCGGACACTACCTTTAAAATGTTGCGAGAGCACGATTTTAACGATGGCGAGTTTGTATTGGAGCAAGCGTTTTACCTCGCGGCGCGTGCTCCGCTTATGTCCAGTCCGTACAGTCAACGAATCGACGATACTGTATCACACTTTGTTCGCTCATTTAGTAGCTACTGAACCTCCTACAAGAGCGTGAAGCGAACAAAAGGAATGGATGCCAAATCCCGCAAAGCGAAGTTAAGGGACGACATAGGGCCAGGGCTCGGCATAGGTGGCTTACGGTGCAAGCTGAATATCGTTTCGGAGTAAAAAAAACAAGGGGGATATCGTTCACGGAACCCCCTCCCCCTCCCCTTCCCCCACAATACTTTCTCCCTCTTATGTCACCCATTCTCTATGGAGGACGCAGATTGTCATTCCTTACCGATTCCATTACTACAAAAAACCATACTCCTGTTTCAACAGATCCGCCAGTTAAGCGCGTGAATTCAAAAACCTGCCCCGAGATCAACAGAAACCTTGCTTACAGCGAAGAGAAAATGAAATGACACCAAACTTGCTGTGTAGATGAGCAAGGGAGTTAGGACAGAAACTAACTTATGTGTAGAAAAAAAATATGAAAAACTTATGTGAACTGAGGGTTTGGCAAACTTTTTCGGAGTTGGGTGGCTTTCCAGCCACATGGACAGCCACCTGAGGAGGGAGGGACCGTAGATTCGCCCGCAGGAACGATTACTTTTGGATTGGAGCAGGAATCCTCCGTAGAGCACCTTATCCTTCCAACGCTGACTGGGGATGCGCTTGCCAAATAACTCAATGTTGCGTCTTGCAACTCTACTACTGCAACTGTAATCTCCTTATCAAGCTTGCCGAGCCACTTTCTTTGAAAGCGGCGTCCAGGCAAATCTGGACAAATGGGTATCGCCAGCGGAAACTGATTTTGGGAAACCGCGCAGAGTTACAGCATAAGATGAGTTACTCAAGCTCTAAGTCTCCATTACTATCAGCATCAAGTACGAAATTCTTTATTAATGCGGTTTGAACTTGTACATAAAAGTTTGATTTGCTTTTTTCTTTTCTCTTTACTAGATATCACTTTTTCGATCTGGACAACCGTCTCTTATCAGCTTCATTGAATGCCTTGACTATTGGGGAGTCTGCCTATAAGCGAAATTCTTGCAAAAAAGGTGGCACTAGGAAACTACGATTGTACCAGCTTCTTGACATCGTAGTTTGTCTCTAATTGTGAATGTTGCGCACTGATCAGCGGTTGATCGTCGTCTTCTTGCTGTGACTTCTCGAGAGCGGCCAAGATTTGTTCTTTTGTGCTTTTGTCAAAGTCGAATTGCTGTGTTGAAAAAATTTCAGGTACGAAGGTAAGGAGATAAATATATATTAACCATGTTGAGAGCTTATTGTCGAGGTTGTTATTCTTTTTAATGATATGCACATGCCTAGTTTGCAGTGTATGAGCATAAATGGCCTTCGCTCTTGAGAAGTGGTTGTTTTTTCAGCTCCGTCAAATTTGTACAGCCCTCTTCAAGAAGACATGAAGGCAAGACAGTTATTAACGATCATACGGTGTGCACATTATTTTGGGATACATTGTAGATGTCACCATACATCATGCTGCTTGGACCTGAAAGGCTAATCCAAGTTTCAGATGCACAGAACTCTCTCCTTTTCACTGAAAAATTTTTACTTTTTGTAATCCAAACGAATTTGCCTTATTCAAATATTGTCGTCTCCCCGGTGTACGTTGGGCGGAGCATTTGCGGACATCTGAACACGTTGTTGGACTTGTAAACCCTCTACTGCAGGCATTGTTTTTTGTAATCTCTCGCTACCAACTCTGCCACGTATGACAACAGCATATACACGTGGCAGTTTAGAGAGTACAAAGAACCATACTTTGCAGTAGAGGTTTGAAAAGTTACCAACGCGTTCAGATGTCCGCAAATGCTCCGCCCAACGTACGCCGGGGAGACGACGATATACATACAAATATACTTGAGAAAAAGTCAGATTTATGATAATCTTGGCGAGTTTCTACTACGGTACGGTCACAGAAATGTAAGCGGGGAAAAAGACCAGTGTACTTCATTTTTGAAAGCTCGCCAAGAATATAAGTTTGCAAAAGAATCTGGAATGCCGATGCTTAGGTTTTACGACTTAGTTTGTCGAAAATGTGCGCACCATTAACCGAAACCGTTTGCAATAAAAATTGCAACGTCACCTTCAACAAACTTGAACTATGCCCCCGGTTTTCATGTCAGCCCTTGCAGTGTTTCAGATTTACAAGAACATGATAAAACGTCAGTAGAATCAATCATACCCAATTTTTGGTACTTGGCACAAAATTGTTTCCTGAAACAATGCTCTTCTCAAGTCTGAAAATCTGCATTGTAAATTATTGGGTGACATGAAATATGAGGATTGGGACCACAATACAAGTTTGTTGTATCAAATGTGCCTTACACCAAAAGGAGAAAAGTTGATTCTACAACAGGCGTGAATGATTCAAGTAAATCTAATACTACAAAGCAAATCATGGCAGAGCTTGACTGCGAAATGTTCTCCTTTTCGGAACAATAAAGCGCTGCGATGTATTTCTTATTGCTCATGCTTTAGTGTTTATACATTGAATTGCGATGCCCTCATGAAATCAATCTTTGTTCCACGTTTATCTGGCAGAGAGTTTGATAATGCACACAACTTGCACAAATTTGTGGCCAATTCAAATATTCTCGGATAGATTTCTGTTGCCAAGCATGGCATTTTAAAAAGTCCGCTCAAATGACAGACGCGGCAAGAGCGTCTGCAAAAAAGTGTTAGCCGTAAAGTCTCGAACATTTCCATGACTTTGTTTGTGTAGAACATCCGAGCGCAAAAACTTCACTGATATAAGTCAGTGCATATCATGACCAAAGAAAGTGGCGGCAGGCTTGATACGGAGATTGTTGCAAGACGCAACATTGAGTTATTTGGCAAACACATCCCCAAAATCAGCGTTGGAAGGATAAGGTGCTCTACGGAAGATTCCTGCTCCAAGCCAAAAGTAATCGTTCCTGCGGGCGAATCTACGGTCCCTCCTGAGGAGGCTGTGAAAAGTCATAAATTTCCTTTCCTTCACATAATTTTTCCACAAGTTTAACATAACTTTGTTCCACATTAAAAACTCTGAACTGAGTTTTCAGATCTCCCCAAACTCCTCACTCCCCGTCTAGTTACAGCCCTTCAAATATTTTGTATGACGGCGGCAAGCCTGCTCCAAGCGCGCAATGGTGCACGCCGGACACAGCATGCCGCTAAGTCGGAGACGAACTTCTTTAGTTCTTGTTCTCTGTTCAATTTTGTTTCAATGTTTTGTTCCATTACTTTTTGTGATTCGTGTTTGATCCATTCATGATCGCGTCATAGGTCATGTCGTGTTTTGAGTCTATGGAGTTCGTTTCTTAAAACATGAAAAAGGCACCTCATGCCAGCCCTCTCTAGGGCGCATTTGATACTCAATACAAAACTAGAACCCTTGTCCAGATACGACTCTGCAATCTTTATCCAGAGTTCACCTAAGTGCAAAAAGTTTCACTGAGACATGCGCAACGTTCAGTTTTCAACCATACTGGACTGAACGCTGATGATCGTAACATGGAAATTTGAAAGAAAACGGGAAATCAGGAAACACTTGAGCACTACAAAAACCATTAAACTCACTGCGATAGAATGAAGCAAAAGTAGATTTATGCATGAAAAAAACAAGCGGAGTAAGTATTTCCAAAGAAAAAGATAAAAGAAGCACACACTGATCAATAACAAGGTGCATATTGCTACCCGGACATAAGAAGACTAATTCTGTTATCGTTGAGATCGATGTAGATCAAAACAAAAACCTAAGTGGAAATTTTTCGCAATTCTGCAGAGGGAGATATTGAAAAGAGAGACATTTGAATTTCCCAAGCTACTGAAAATGATGCTTGGACTCGGTTTCAGCATAGTAAATGCTACAAAATGATTTCGAGACAAACTGGTACACGTATCACGC